AATATTACTGAAATAACTGCTGCCATCTGCAAAACCGAAAACTGAAAAGCACCAAGAATAGACTGAATAGCCAATTTTTGGATAAAAATATCTTATCTAGCACACATAAGACCTCACACTGGTATACAATGATATAATCATAAACCCCAAAACATGCCTGAAATGGCTCACGTAGGGAGTAACATACCAACTCCCCAAAACAGAAGAGATGCAGAACCTAAAGAACTATAGGCCTAACGACAATGTACAAGATCTTCACTACTATCATAACAAAGAGAAAATACAAATTCCTTGAGAAAAACAATTTACTTCCAGCAGAACAGGAGGGAATAAAAGAGGAAGTTATGGATGCAAGGACAAACTAATTATCAATAAAATAATATTGGAAGAAGAGAAAACAAGGAATAGAAACTTATTGATAGCATGGATCGACTACAGATAGGTGTTCGACAGTGTACTATACTCATGGATAGAGAAGAACCTAAAAATATACAGATTATGCCCCACAATTGTCAAATGGAGAACATGAAAAATTGGGAGACTACACTAAACTATACAGACAGGTTATTAACATCAAGACCAATCAACATCAAAAGTGGGATCTTCCAAGGAGATTCATTGTCACCATTACTCTTCTGTCTTGTATTAGCACCACTCAGCTACCTACTGAACAACAATAGCTACAGGTACAAGTTACAGAATGTCAAACTGAATCACCTATTCTATATTGATGCTCTTAAAATGTTTGCCAAAGATGACAACGAGCAGAAAAACCTACTCAACATTGTCTAAACCTTCAGCGAAGACGTTAGGATAGAGTTTGGAATTGACAAATATGCCAAAGCCGCCTTCAAAGGTGGTAAACTAATGAAAACTACAGATTTAGACATTGATATCAACAACAAGATTAAGGAACTAGACCAAGATGGTACATACAAATACTTAGGAATTAATGAAGGAGACGAAATACATCATTCAATTGTGAAGAAAAAGATCTGAAAGAATATTACAGAAGAGTGCATTTGATACTAGAAAACGAACTTAATGAGGCAAATAAAATGAAGGCTATCAGCACCTCATCTATACCTGTAGCAAAATACAGCTTCAAAATTATTAAATTTAAGTTGAATGACAATCCAACTTGAACTAGCTCTAAAAACTACAACAATCAGATTGGAAGCAAACCTCACAAAAACCAATGACCCTCTCCTAAAAATAGTAAAACACCAAATCCACTCCATCAACAAAGAAGCTACACTCTTCAAGAAACAGTTTAATGTACCTGAAACTCTACCAACAAAAAACGAAATGAATACCATCTACACCAAAAGAGGAAACACATCAGTGGCTGAGAAATACCAGGTTGAAAGCTGAGACAAAAGGCCTAATTATTGCATCTAAGGGCCAAAGCTTTGCAACCAGATCCTATCACTAACATAATCATGGATAGAACTAACCCAAAATGCAGGAACTGAGGAAAATATGATGAAACTGTTGACCATATTATCTCAGGATGTTCGGAACTAGCAAAAAATGAATATACCCTCAGACATAACAAATTAGCAACATATGTGCACTGGAAGATATGCAAGAAGCAGAAAATTGAAACCACTGAGAGATAGTATGAGCACCAACCAGACACAGTTACCCAAAATAATAATGTAACTATCCTCTGGCACATGCCAATTCAAACTAACAGGGAAATAAAAGCCAACATAGCTGATATTATTATAAAAGACAAGAAATTTAGGAAGTGTATACTTATTGACATAGCAGTAGCAACTGAGAGAAACTCCTCCATGAAAATTACCGAGAAATTGTCTAAATACAAGGACCTGGAAATCGAGATTAACGGGATGTGAAGAATGAAGGCTGGGACTGTACCAATAGTAATCGGAGCACTGGGCTTTGTGAGAAAAGGAATGGACAATTTTACTAGCAGAGTTCCAGGTAACATTAACATACAGGTTACCCAGAAGAATACCCTACTAGGAACATCCCATATACTAAGAAATTTGCTGTCAATTAAATGACAATTTTCCTATTGGGCCTAAGGACTCAGCTCTAGAGGATAGAAAGCAGGAAGCATAATACACACACAAATAATAATAATAATAATAATAAAGATTGAAAGAACTTGATATCTAATGAAGAAATCAATAATTTGCTGAATAGTGGAGAGACTTGTTGCCACTTGATCTCCAATGTAATCCACTAGTGTGAACACCATAATAATTTGAAAAGCCAAGCAAAGAGATTGGAGAGCTGAAAATTTGAGTAAGAAATGAAGCCATTTAGATGAGAATATAACTAAAATAGGATAGATTATTGCAGAGACTTGCTGTCACTTGATCTTTTAGGGTAATCAACTAGGCACCACAAGAGAGAGAGAGTTTGGAAGAACAGAAAATCCAAGCAAGAACTTGAACCATCCAATTAATAGGATTACTAGGAGAAGTTTGAAATAGAGTATGCAAAGATAGTGAGGAGGGTGCTGGGGATCTGAGATTTAATCTGATATTTGAGGTATCTTGCTGTCACTTATTCTTTAGTGATGAACAACTGGAGTCGAGTGGGAAAGAGGAAAATTGTATGAAATAATAATAATAATAATAATAATAATAATAATAATAATAATAAATTCCCAGATGTTTGTCGGAAACTATAGCAAGGTAAGCCTCTTCATGGTTAATACTTTGCCTGTACCATATGGTCAATACTCTGCCTGTACCAAACAGGCTGATGTAGAAAAACCCCATACCAATCAGTGGTTACGTGGTGCAGAGATAAAAGCTGAAACCAAAGGTTTTATTCTCGCTGCACAGAACCAATGCTTGCTAACTAGAAATTACCAAACACACATACTAAAAAATTGTGTTAGCCCAAAATGCAGATTCTATGATAAATATCGAGAAACAATTGACCATCTTGTATCAGGTTGCACAGTGTTAGCACCAGTTGAATATAAAACTTGGCATGATAGAGTGGGCCAATATCTGCACTGGAAAATATGCCACTTTTATGGGAAGGAAACTGCAAGAAACTGGTATGAACACCACCCAGACTCAGATACAGAGATAGGACCTGTAATAATTTTATGGGATTTTACAATACACACAGACATAATAGTCAAAGCTAATCACCCAGACATTGTGATCAAAGACCACAAGAAAACAATGTGCTTTCTTATTGACATGACAATCTCTGAAAATTGTAATGTATCTTTGAAGATCTTCAAATAACTATCAAAATACAAAGATCTTGAAGTGGAAATTTCAAAAATGTGGCACATGAGAACATCAATAATTTCAATTGTACTTGGAGCCCTCAGATTGATTGGAAAAGTTTCCAATCAATTCATTGAAGGAATTCCTGGCAGTTCATGCCTTAAAGAAATACAAAAAATTGTACTCACAAGTACAGCTCACATATTACAAAGAACTTTATTTATGTAAAATGTATGTGATCTTAGTTTTTTTTTTTTTTTTTTGACTGAAGGTCTCTGGTTGGGACGGGGAAGGAAATGTGTATACAACAGAAATCAAAGGAAATAATTATAATAATAATAAATATCCTAAAGTTACACCAGCCATAGCTCTCATAGCTTCTGTCCTTAAAAACATTTGACCATATTTTATCAGATTGAAACATTTCAATATCAGATTGAAAAAAGAAACATTTGACCATATTGTATCAGATTGAAACATTTTAATATCAGATTGAAAAATAGAAACATTTGACCATATTGTATCAGATTGAAAAAAGAAACATTTGACCATATTGTATCAGATTGAAAAAAAGAAACATTTGACCATATTGTATCAGATTGAAAAAAGAAACACTTGACCATATTGTATCAGATTGAAAAAAGAAACATTTGACCATATTGTATCAGATTGCATAGTGTTAGCACCTACTGAGCATGATAGAGTAGGCCAATATCTGTGCTGGAAAATATACGGGAAAGAAATTACAAGAAACTGGTATGAATATCATCCAAACCGGGTTACAGAGATAGGAGCTGTACCAATTTTCTGGTAATTTGCAATACACACAGACAGAATAATCAAAGCCAAATGTGATCAAAGACCACAAGAACAAAAATGTTCTTTCTTATTGACATGGCAGATTGTATGGTATCTTTGAAGATCTTCAAAAACTATCAAAATACAAGCATCTTGAAGTGGAAATCTCAAAAATTTGGCACATGAGGACATCAATAATTTCAGTTGTAGTTGGAGCCCTTGGATTGATTGGAAAGTTTTCAATAGACTCATTGAATGGATTCCTAGTAGACCATGCCTTAAAGAATTACAAATAATTGTACTCAGAAGTACAGCTCACACATTATGAAGAGCTTTATCTATGGAAAATGTGTGAGATCTTAGGGTTTTTTTAATAAAAGTGATCAGTGGAAAATGCATGAAACCATTTCTGACCTTAGGTCTCTGGTTGGGACCCCAAAAAGAAATGAGTATACAGCATAAATCCAAGGAAATAATAATAATAATAATAATAATAATAATAAATATCCTAAAGCTACACCAGACATGGCTCTCATAGCTTCTGTCCTTAACTGATCATGTTTGTCAACATGTAGATATTTTGTTTTGGTGAATTAAGATAGGCTACCATAAATATTCCTTTGGGTATCACATCAGAGAGCTGAGTTCAAATTCCAATTGAGTCCATTACATTCACTTATGCACAAATATCCCTCCAGCTCTGGGTTAAATAACAGGGCAAATTGGTTCCAATAGCCTTGGTTGGCAACCAGTCTATTGCAGAAAGAAATGCCAATCTACTGCGAGAAAATCTTCTGCCTAGTCAGTCATAAATTGAGAGAGACATGATCAGCTAAGCATTTATCGCATATGGTAGTGAACTAACTGACTGACCACAGATTTGCTTTTCAGTAATAATAATAATAATAATTAATACCTTGATTCTACACCAGGCATGGCTCTCGTAGCTTCTGATCTTAAATCAGATTGTGTCTTATGGCCATATTATGTTGAAACACTGGTTTCCATATGATCACTGAAGTTAAGCAACATTATGTCTGGACAGTACCTAGGTGGGTGACCATTTAGAAATACCAGATGTTGTAAACTTGGATGTGTGGGTGGTGTAATGGATAATGGCTTGAAATTAATCGGAGAGAAATGAGTTCCAGTTCCTGTTGTGTCTGTTATATTCACTTACATGCAAATACCCTTAGGAAAGAAAAGAATTCACCTTTTCTCCTCCCAGCTATGGGTTAATAAGTAAGACTTGTATCACTAAATCATTACTATCTAAAAAAAAAACAACTCTTACAATTTAAAAATATTTTGTGGCTTTAAATAACCTGCAAAGTGATAATAAACTGCAAAAAATGAATCAGATTGGAGAGGTTAATGTATGCATGTTTTGTTTTAGTGGATTAAGGTGCATTTCCAGAAAATCCTGGAATCAAGATTAGAAATCAAGATTGGAAATCCAGGGTAGGGTGAAGACTGAACAGTGCACAACATTGCTGGAATGTGTAAGGATACTGAGAAGGGTGCTGGAGATTTGAGGAGACTTGCTGTCACTTATTCATCAGTGATGAACATCTGACATCAAATGTGAACATGAAAATCTAGGAAATACCACTACTACTACTACTACTACTACTACTACTACTACTACTAATAATAATAATAATAATAATAATAATAATAATAATAATAATAACAAAGGTTGGAAGAACAGGATATCTAATGAAGAAATCAATAACTTGATAGTATTATTAAATAGTGGTGAGACTTGTAACAGTAGCAGTAATAATAATAATAATAATAATAATAATAATAATCGAGAAATTGTTCAGTTACAAGGACCTAGAGTTTGAGATTAGCAGGATGTGGGAAATGAAGACTGAGATTGTACCAATAGTAATCGGAGTTCTGGGCCTTGTGAGAAAAGGAATGGACAATTTTACTAACAGTGTCCCAGGTAAAATCAACATGCAAGTTGCCCAGAAGATCACCCTACTTGGAACATCCCATATACTAAGAAAAGTGTTATCAATAAAATGACATTTCTCCTATAACGTCTAAGGACCATAGTTTGGGCCCAGCTCTACAGGTTACAAAGCAGGAAACATACATACACAAATAATAATAATAATAGTAATAATAACAATAATAATAATAATAATAATATTCCGTCTTCTTAATTCTTATTTTTTTATTGTTCTCTCTCCTTAATAGTAGTTTTTCTTGTATACTTAGTGACTGCTTGCATCCTAGTGACTTTATTGCCCTACTTGGGGTGAAATGATTAAAAAAAAATATGTTCTTGCTATCACTTGATCTCCAGAGTAATCAACCAGGAGGGTTAAAAACTATATAATAACCTGAAAAGCCTTGTAGAGAGGTTGGCAGAAGAGTCCAACATTTGGAAAAAATTGAAAAGAACAAGATGGTAAAACAGATTTCAGTATTTAGGGAACTTGCTTATCACTTGACCCCAATGGATTGATTGATTGACTGATTTGCTTTTTACAACTTATTTTGCTGATTATTTAAAGCCAGCAAATATTTTTAGATTTTAAGAATTTTTTTTGAGATAATAACTATTTTTACTGATACAAGTCCTACTAATTAAGTTATTAACCTGTTGCGGATAGGGGAGAAGAAGTGGATTCATTCCTTTCTTAAAAACAGTACATAACGTGAATATAATGAATCCAACTGGAATTGGAACTTGGCTCTCTGAATTCCAAGCGATTATCCATTACACCACCCACACATCCAAGCTTATGGCATCTGGTACTCCCAAGTGATTACCCTTTACTTTAGGTACAGACCATGGCTTAGTGTTGTTTAACTTAAGTGAATGTATGATAACCGATATTTCAATGTGATATTGCCATAAGCCAGACCCCAGTGCAGTTTATCAGGTACAACAAGTGTGAACATAATAATTGTAAAAGCCTTACAGAGTTTGGTTGGTAGAACAGAAAATCCAAGGAGAATTTATTTTAAACCATCTAGATGATAGGATTACAATATAAAACAAATTAAAAAAAAATAATCAAATATTGTAGAAAGTTTTATAAAATTGAGAAGGCTTGCTATCACTTGACTTCAAGTATTATCTTCCATTTATGACTAATAATGTGAGCCCAATAATAATTTGAAAAGCCTTGCAGAGAAGTAGGGGGAAAAACAAATCTTAGGAAGAAATGCTACCATTTTTAGACGACATTAAAAAAAGCTAGAATACTGTGGAGAGTTCTAGAAGATTGGGAAGGCTTGCTGTCACTTTATATAACTTACTCGTTATGCTACTGCAAAAAGAATAATAATAATAATAATAATAATAATAATAATAATAATAATAATAATAATAATAATAATAATAATATGAATGAATGAATGTAATAATCCACATAAAAAACGTAATCTGTATCCATATGTCAATAATTTTTGTGTATGTAAGCCTTTTCTTAGCTACATCAACAGAAAAGTC